TTAAAGCAATTCAAGCAATGTAATTTTATCCTTCATTCGAAAATCAGAGTTTCGTTTATGGAAAAAATATTTAGAAATTATTTAAAAAAAACATATAAATTACTTAAAACTGTAGATTTGTCAAAAAACTGTAAGAATTAAATCAAATTGGCTGAACAAATTATCGATCTCATGATTACTTTTTAAATAAAATTGAGAAAACCAAATCCTTGCCTAATTTTATCAATGTTACATGCGTAATACAGTACTCTCCTGTATTTGAAATCATATTTTAATGAGTAAAATAAAAAAAAATTTAAAGCATATAAAATAATAATTAAAAAAATAATAAACTTATATAAAAGACTTGAGAAATTCACAGTATTGTTCTTTTTAGCTTAAAAAAGATAATTTAAGCTTAATATATATTGCTATTAACAGAACGATTCAGACATTTTGTTTCAAATGACTATTTATTTCACACACAAAAGAAAATAATATTTAAAGACAATGATACATATATTTCATGAAATGACAATGATATTTGACTCAGAAAGAGCTTTAGTAATTTCCAAAAGAGTGATAAAAGATTATGTAAATAAACAAGCTCCTTTATATTAAGACATTTTTTTTTCACATTCTGGATCTTGCAGATTTTCACCTCGTTGTACTGCAGAAGAGATTTATGTTGCAAAACTTCCAATCTAAAAAATATTATATGTGTTATGGACAATGGTATCAATCAGGTTATTTTGTATAATTGACAGCTATTATACTCGGTGAATAACAAAAGTGCTTCTTTTCCCAAGTTTTAATTTACAAAACTGTTTGTTGTATTTGAACAAATAATTTTCTAACAGTTACTAAATGATTAAAATAAACACCAAAGTGTAATTAAAAGAAGCTGAACTCGGGGACTTAATTTTTTTGAAATTGATAATAAGTTGCCAACAGATCGCACTGTATATTGATGAAGGTTTTAAGAATATATAAAATTTTACAAAATGATAACTGATAGCGTTGTGCACTGTACAAAAATATTAAATAAGCAAAAATAGCCAAATTTTGGCACCATATACCCCTTTAACATCGCCGTGTGTTGAAAACTTTATTAACGAATTTAGAAACTTTGGAGAAAATTATTACTGATGCTTGAAAATTATTTAATTTTGAATTGGTTAATATTTGCAGTTATAAAATAAGTATTTTTAACAGTAAAAATGTAGATAAATATCTTACTGTGACCATAGACACACAAAAAGCAGATAAAGTGTTCATTATTTATGTTCTCTGTAAAAGATTGATGGTATGAAATGATAATTTTTTCCGTCTTATGAAATGATACTTTTTTTGCAAATAATATGCTATTTTAATTACAGCGGTGAGTTTCTAACAGTTACTCGTAACTCTTACTTTTATCTAAACCTAGCTATAGCCATCGGTCTCCATGCCTATTCAGAATATAGCAAAAAATGTTAATAAGGAGTTAAAGCCACAATTTTGAGAAAGTGTAAAGTGTTTGTGGCCTAATTTATTCAAAATCCTCATTATCTGGGCTTACAAAAGTTTGCAAAAAAATTAAAACAAGACATTAGTTTTGATAACTTTTACTTTGTGGAAAAAAAATTATAAAAAATTTAATAACTTTTAAATTTTTAAAGTTACAAAGCTTGGATAATTCATTGCGGCAAGTTGGCATTTGCAGTTTAAAATTATAACTTTGATTCAAGTATAAAACACTTAAACTGTAGCTTTCTATTTTAATTGGCGAAAGGCATCAGCATCCAAAACACATCCTGAACACTTTGCGTGGTACTATATATTTTTTAATCAAATATATAAATATTCATTCTTTGAAAAACATTTTACTTAGTTTGCATTCTAAAATGAAAATCTTTCCTTTGTGCAGAAACTTGGAATAAAACATGATAAAAAATTACGAATTACGAAAAGGAAAAAATGATTTTAATAATGATAGGAAATTGAAGATGTGATGGTTAAAATGAGAAACTTATATGTTTCAAGATGTATAAGTTACGAGAAAATAAATATTTAAACCTAAGAGTGAAAGAAGAACTGGAAAAAGTCCTTAACTACATTTCTGGAATTAATTTTTAAAGCAAAATGACTTTTGAAAATATGGGTCAGTCGCCGAAGAGAAGCATTGAAGATTTTAAAAACACGCCACCCTCGCCATCGAACAGGACTTAAAAAAGATCTTTTAAAGGATTTTGCTTTCAAATAACACTTATTCCGTCATAAAAATTCTTATTTTCGCTTAGTTAGTATTGTTTATGAATTAAAATAACGTACCTTCTATTTGATTGATTCAACAAGCACAAATTCCCTTCAAATTTCATTTTTAAACAGACATTTTCTAACAGAAGATTTTTCCTTCCACATTCTTGCTCCAACCTAAAAATAATATATTTGTAAACTAAATAAGAAAAATTAATCTATTTAAAATAGTTTCAATTTTTTAAGATCGGTAACATAATATTCCATATTTTGTACATGTCTAAATATGCATCTTAGAAATATTCACATATATTGTTTAGAACAATTTTTAATCTTTTTTAATTTAGCTGTGAGCAAAAAGTATGTTATCACACGCATACAAAATCATCATACTAATAAAATTGAAAAAGTATAGCTACCATTGTTCTAGAATTTTATTTTAATTATATTTATTTTGACAAAATTATAGCGAAAAATTAAGCTATTAGCAATTTTACAACAATAGTCTAGTGTTATATTTTTATCTACTCTTAGATTTTCAGTTCAAAATCGTCATTACATTCGATGCACCGTTAGGGGCATAGTTGTTTCTCGTAAGAACTCATACTTCATAGCAGCTTGAGTTTTTAACTATTTTATCAATAAATTTATATCTAAAAAAAAAATGCTTTTATATTTTGACGATGATTTTTTTAAGCACATAAGATGCCATGGCAACTCAATGGATAGAGCGCTCACCTATTTATGAAGTGACCAAGGTTCAAATCCCAACGGTGGTAGCTTTATATGAATTCTGCTCCCGACTCACATCCACCACAATATGTTGAGGTAAAATACCCTCAGTGATCAACGGACCATGGATTAAAGTCCCCTTTACCGTCAGCTAACTGTGACTGCTTTTCGAGGTTTTCCTTCCCATGTAAAATAAATGCGATTTTGTTCCATCAAAAAGTTCCCCACGAAGGTTAGTTTCCCAATAAATTCAAAATTGGGTCAGCAGTTCAACGTTGGTCACAGAATAAAATAAAGACATATATTATTTCAACAGAAGGAAGAATAACACGCTAAAGTGTTAATACCCTGTAATATTATTGTTTGTTTGTTTGTATAGTTTGTAATATTATAGCTGTTTGTTGATATACCCAACATACAAGCTTCATTCTCAATCATATGACATTTTCATGAAACTTTTCCAACTTTTTTCAAATTTTATAATTTATGTAAAAAAATAATTATTAAATGAACACAAGTTAATCGTAAGTCAAGAACTTGTGAATTTTTCCCGACTGGAGCAAATTTTGTTTAGTTTTATAACCAGCTTAAAAACAGCAGACTCAATTTTGAGTTTACGACTAACAGGGCTCAACTCTGTAACCTTGAATTCAATCCAGAGGGAAATAGAACTCCCGTATCAATTATTGGCGAGACTTTTTAATGGAACTAACCAGCATTTACGTTACATTAACAAGAAAATCACGAAAACCTCCCAAAGTAAATCTTTCAGCATATTTTAAGTCTGTACCGTGGATCGTGTAACCCGGGAGCAGAATTCGTATTAATCAGCCAACGTAGGGATACGAGCCTGGGTCACCTCATTGGAAAGTGAATACCTTCTGTGATACCGTGATTCGGAGAAACGAATTTAATTAATTTCTGTTTTATAACACTATATATAAAGTTATGTATCCGCGCTGTTAACTTTGATAAACGGCCACTAATTACATTAATGATGTTAATTTTGATAAATGGCCAAAGTAATGACCACGCTGATTGTAAAAATCTTGATATTCTTTTCAACTGACATGGAAAACACTGTTATACACAGTAGACTAATTTGATATGGATTCCTTGATAAGTTTGAATCAAGGTACCAAATAATGATTCAATCCGCTACATTATTATAATTGCGACAATAATTTGAAGTTACAGATATAATTGCTCAATTTTGAGCCTATTTTTTGAGACTCTAATACCGAAGAAAATTATCAAAAGTAAAAAAATAATAATTAAGAAGGCATTGTTCTGTAGTACCTTCCTGTAATCTAATTGTTTTAAAAATGGAACAAGGCTTAGTTTTAGCACAATATAATACTTATATTTTCATGGAAGGAAAGAATTTTTTTGAGTTGTAATATATTTTCTTATATTCTTTAGGGAACTTTTTAATTTAGATAAAAAAACACTATTATGTAAATAATATCTTAATAATTACTTGCTGCTTGAGTGTAGAAAATTATGTAATACAAAATTGTTCACGGTTGGAAAAACTTTTTATTTAAAAATGAAGGGCTTTATAATGCTTTTGAGGCCCCTCCTAATAAATATTTATTTTTAGGATATAAATTGTA